ACGGTGTGATACCCACTTGAACGGAGTATGGCCTGTATGTAAGGGTGCGTGAAAAAGCCCGCCCATTTGCTTGACTCTCAACACGTTATCGTTTTGCTCTACCTCTGCAAGGCTTCCCGTCTATGGCATCTGCTGCAGACGGTGGGTTGCTGTAGGGTCGCATGGCACATTGTGCGAGATCCTTTCGTGTCGTCCAGCTCGCGTTGTGCACGCCAAAGATGCGACACATAGGCACACTGCTGCTGTAAATACATGGGGCATGTCCTCCGTCATCTCTGCATTTGCTGCCAGCTGTTTTTCCTCATCCCCGTCCTTCTTGCCCTGGAGCAGAACAACTCATATTCGGAGATCCCACACCCCCAAGCGAAGACGTGAGTGGACCTGCTTTCCGGACTGACGTCCATGGCCACGCATCGGTGGGTGAAGGGCACCTCTGCCCCGTTTGGCACCCAGAGAGAAAGCGCTGTGCCAGGACATGCCATGCTAACATTAACACGCTTTTGTGTATCGCTCGGAGTGGCACCGGAAAGCTTAGAGATGAACGTTTATGCTCCATGTCCAACGGCTAGGACGTAAGGGTTTGATTGTTGCTTGTCACGACATGTGACAACCTCGAAAGCTTCTGAATCCTACGTACTTGACAGCGGTTATATGGGGTTATGTTGATGGTCGCCACGCACGTCCATTGTTTCTGCCATCATGCGTTTCCTTTTGCAAAGTGCCGTGTCTCAATTGCCACCTGCCGCAGCACCAAGATGAGCTCGAACAGGTTTCCTGTAGGCTTGTTAAGTGGCGCGGTCCTTGGGGCGTTTGGTGGATGGCTGCTTTCCACCCAGCAGAGCCTGTGCCGCGGTGTGCCTTGGAGACGACATGAGAGAGCCTCAAACCAGGGGTGTCCGGATTCCTTCACAGTCGCGTCAAGTGCAGAATTGACAGCTAAGGACTGGTACAGCGCGAGTCCGTCTAAGGCAACTGCAGTCGCTGAACAATCTGGCGAGTACAGTTGGCTGAAGACTTTGTGCCAAGGACGATCGATTGGAAATCTGTGGGTTTCGACTGAGCAAACAGTGGAGAATCAAAGTGTAACAGATGTTTTAAAAGTTCTTCTTGGCTCTTGTTCCATGTTTGCATCTACACCCGAAGATCCATGAAATCCTGCAGCACGGCGGGCTTGTTGAGGGGGGTTTCCGGTGGCTCCAATATTCCATGAGGATGCCTATCTGCTCAGGAGCCAGGTACCGCGAACCGATTTGTAATTAGTACCCTCTAGGTCGGAAGGTAGTTGCGTCGTTTGTGACGTGCTGTTGTTTTGTTTTGTTTTGGGTGGTTTTCTGCGTATTCGTGAAATTTTCGTACCACCAAGGCCGGATCCGTTGCTTGACGGAAGCAATCCCCAAGCCATCAAGTCCTTTTGAAGCTTTCGCGGCAGACATGCTTCCCTTTCATTGAACAACGAACTGAGATGTTAGGCGTGACAGCTGGGTGGCAAACCCTAAATATGAACTGAAATGTAAGGACGTTGGATTGGAACACTTCTGTCCCAAACCCTCACCCTCATCCTTCAAGTGCACGAGTTCAAAAGAAGACGTTAGGCTGGGAAACGGGGTGATGGACGGGAGACCCGAATCCTCAAAAATTAGATGACGGATGTGAAGCCCCCAACTCACATTGGACACCGGGTGGGCAACCCTCAATAAATGCGATGTGTGGCAAACCCAGCTGAGAAGCTTGCGGAAATGTTAGACTTTGCAAAGAAATTTTCAGCGGCACACCCTGATCATTTTTGGGAAGCCCTGGCCCCAGAAGTAGATGTTGGGAGATTAAACCCAGAAGAGCATGTATGGATGTTGGATGCGGGGGACCGTCAGTTGGAAACACCAAACCCTCAGCGGAGTGTTGCGATGCTGGATGGAAGTTCGTGAACCCTAGATGGACATGGGCGGCTGAAAACCCGTGAGCCTGTAGGGAGGGGCAACCCTGTGTTGGGCATTCTTGTAAGGAAGGCTTAATCGAGAAAATGTTGGGTAGGAAACCGCGAGCCCGCCTGAAGGGGAGATGTTTTGTGAAACCATGCAGCACCATAAAGCGTAAGGCATATGTTGGAAGGTTGGATGGAAACGGTGAATGCCGAAAGGAGATCTTAGGGTGGCAAGCCTTGAATTCCGAAGAGGCTTCAGAAAAAAGAGGCTCAAAAAGGCGTAGCAAAGCATTTAAAGGTTAACAAGCCTAAAGATTCGCTAACATGTGCAAGAAGCGTGTGCAGGGGCGGTAAAAGGCGTTATGAAGTGTACAGAGGCAAAAAGAAGTGTAAAGTGGTGCTATACTGCTGTAAGAGGCGGTGAGGAGCATATTGAGGGGCCTTAAGGCGTTCAAAGAGGCGTCGACAAGCGTGACGAGGCATAGCGAGGCGTTGCGAGGCATGACGAAGTGTGACCCGGGGAAAGAACAAATCTAGAGGCGTGGGTCAAGACTTAGCACACCATGGAGCGCTTAATTTACAATTGAATAGCATTCACAACCATGACGACTTAAAGCAAACACCTGCAAAACCTTGAACCTTTTGACACCCTAATCTAAAGCGCCAAACTGGAAAGGCTCTCGCCCTAATTTAATGCCCTCTTGGGGGTGGGTTGGCTGACAATCGAAGTGAGCCCAAGCGAAAATCTGTCCATAAAAACAAGCGTTTCATTTCTCACTTAAGTTGTGTCTTTTTTTGATTCCGTTGTTCTACATGCTTCTAATGCCAACCTCGGCTGACCCCCGGCTCCGTTCACCAGATTAGTTTCCACAAAGGTCGCGGTCCCGCGCAGTTGGGCAGAGGTATTGGGCGATTTTTCGAAATTGTGTCAAGTTAACATGACACCTTTTAGGCCCCGTCTCACCCCAATACCTCGAGATGCGCAAAGAGCCTCTAATAGCATCAACTTCCAGATGGTTTGAATTTCGAAATTACAGTTCAATTCAACCATTACATCCGCAAAGACTTAGCTTGCCCAAGCAGCCTGAAAACTTTCGGGCCGACTGTGCTCCAATCAGCCCGAGAGGAGCACCAGCTGATTGCCAGAGAACCGTGGAATCCTGCCTTGCGCAAACGCGGAAAGGTGAGGTTTCTGCGCCAGCGTCAGCAGTTTCAGCGGCGGCATCGGTGGCATCAGCAACACCGAATAGTGGCATTACGAAGGTCAGGACTCAATTTCCATGGATGAGAAAAAAGAGGCTACCTTGTATGTCAGCGGTCGTCAGCAATTGCAGCCAAAGGGATTGTTCGCACATGGATTTGTATCAGTTCGGCATTTTCCAGGCGACCTCAATGGCTGGTATTGCCGCGGAATTCCGGACATTTAATGCAAATTATTCACGCTTTTGGGGCTTCGACTCATTCCAGGGTCTTCCTGATGAAGGCACCAACCATCGGGCAGCACTGCCCCCAAATTTCTCACAACGCCAAATCCAAGGCGATTATGACAAGATGGCAAAGGCTGTCTGGTTTCCAGGAAGCTTCAACATGCGACAGGCATTCCGCACATCCAATTTTATGAAGATGATCGACGCCGTTGAAGAGAAGATCAATGATCCCCGAGCCAATTTCATTAGAGGGTTTTACAATGAGTCTCTGACCGTGGCTTGGCTTCTTGATTTTTGCTATGCTTGTGTTATTCTGCTGTACATGCTGTCCGATGCATCAATCAATCTGCCTTGTTGCCACACTGAGGCAGCCACCTTCCGTTTGTTGCCATTCCGCCCGGCTTTGTACGTGGACATTGATGTGGACTTGTATTCTTCAACATACCAGGCATTGGAGTGGTTGGCGCAGTTTGGCCTCCTGGTGCCAGGCACGATAATTGGCTACGATGATTGGGTTACGGGAGGGGAGAATGGAGAGCAAAGAGCCCACAAGGATATTCTGGAGAAGTTTCCCAAATTGAGAATGGCTCCATACACGTCACCTGGCTATTCACATTGGCCAGGTTGTTTCATTGTGACGGAAACGCGTTGAATGATCGCGCTGCATGAGTAGAGGTTTCGTGATGCATCTCAGTGCCAGGTGCTCGTTCAGAAAACAAGGTTGAGATTCGCTTGGGGCTTGGGTGTGGTCGAATATTGCTTTGTGTGTTATTTCGTTTGTCGTCTGTTCAGATGGTTTTGTGAATCGGAAGGTCTGCATCGAAATTAGTGTGTATCAGACGCAAGAATCTTGATGGCAACTCGGCTTTTGAGCATATCACTGCATGTGTTTGTTGCAGTGCAAAAGAACATGTGGTTCTGCAAAGTCTCCATGGCGCTGCCAAAACCCCCTGATATGACCACAACCCATACTAGACTGCCTTGCGTCTGGGGTGGGGGTTCTCGTTTTTTTTTTTTTTTTTTTTNNCCACATGAGCCCACATGAGCCCACATGAGCCCACATGAGTCCCACATGAGTCCCGCATGTGTCAACAGCTCCTCAGTCCTGGCAATGGAACCTCGAAAGTTCCACGATCTCAGACAAGGCTGGTTTAGGGTTCAGGGTTTAAAGTTTCAAGTTGAGGGTGAAGCGCTTTCAAGGATCGTCAGGGCTCTCAAGGAGGTTTTCTGGGTCAGTTTTGTCTCGGCTTCTTGGAAAGATGATTCTTGTGAGGGTTTAGGGTTCAGTGTTTAGGGTTTAGGGTTTAGGTTATTTTGGGTTTAGAGTGTGCCCTCAGTGTTAGGGTTGAGGGACGTAGTGCAGGTTTTCGCGTGGTGGCTTCAGGGCGGCCAAAGATGCTACGCTGTCGTACCGCAAGTTCGGGGGGAGTGAGGATTCAGGCTAAGTGGGGGATGAATGGGTGGGTGGGGTTTAATTTTTTTGGGGTTGAGGGTTTTTCAGAGTTCAGGGTACTGGAGTTTGTCGAAGCATTTTCGCTTCGGTTGCTGACATCTGACATCTCACTTTGCATTTTCGCTGCAGCCTACCCCAAAACATGAGGCATGCCATGATGGGCTACATGTGTTGAGCGCTTCAGCCCGAAGACATGTAAAGCGCCCCTCAAGAAGATCATGCACAAGACAGTGCCCTCGCGGTATTTGCATTGAGACACCGCACTTGCGCAAGAGCCACCCGTGGATTTCTGGGTTTGGGATTGAAGGGCGGTTGCCTGGGCAAGCCATGCTCGGTGGTTCCAACCCCGCGACGGATGTCGAGAACATGTGCCTCCCAGCATTGCAGAAGAGTGACCAAACGACTCGTTTAGGCGGCAAACGTATCTATCCCCGTGCACTTGATGGTCAAGGCCCGGCACAGCAATCAAATCATCAGAGAAGGCTTCATAGAAGGTTTGAGGAGTTCAGCAGCTCACTGCAGGAACAGATTGCGGGCTGGACAACGATGCGTATGCGTGGCAGTTCCATGCCGCAGCTGGTTCCCACACCTCGACGCAGAGCAAAGCATCCCTGCGAGTTTATTCCGCAGAAGATCATGGCAAGCTGTACGATACTGGGACGCACAGGTAAGACTATGAGGAAAGTCCCATAAAGATGTAAGGCTTTGGGTCCGGCCGGTGGAAGTGGCCCATTCTGTTGCTCAGGAAGGCTTGGCTGGGCGGCCACATTTGACAGGGCCTCCACGGCCCTACGACACCCCGCGCCGCCGCTTCCCCGGGGCCAATGTCTCACAAGTGGATGGGCACCAGAGCTTCGATTGGCCTTTTCTTTGCGTTTTGTCGCATAGCTCATGTAGCCGTGTAGCCCATCGCCACTGTGCAACGGGAACATTGAGGCTTCTTCGAGATGATCGCACGCCTTTGGCCTCCGAACATCCTTCACAGTACGGACAGCTGTACAATGGAGCTGCTGGAGTTCACGGCCACTGGTTGCTAAAGCCAAAGGGTGACGACCTGCAGCAGAGCTTCTGGGCACACGAATTAGTAGTGGTTAGGTGTTGATGAGGAGCGTGTCAGCAACCCGCGCTCCTCTTTTCTGAGGCGGTGGCTGCGGCGGAGCTGGCCCGTCGCAGGTGGACGAAATAGTCCTTGGACACGACATCGACGGCTCCACGAGCTCGGCCTTGAAGCAACTCTTGAGCTTGGAGGGAGCGGCCGGTTGCAAAAGCATTGGCGTGGCTCCAAAGCTCGAGGGCAAACGATCTGTTCCGGGTGGAGGAGACTCGCAAGTGGACGAGCTGATATGGGGCACTGATGTCGATGGCTCCTCGGATCCAGCACTTGTGAAGGCCAAGGACCAGCTCTTCCAGGGGGCAGCAGGAGGAAAGATGCCACTCACAAGCCGAGGCAGGCACAACCCACGGTCACTCCTTTCAGCTGGCTGTTGAAGTTGACTGTCTGTCCTCGTTCTCACATTCTTTCCTTCCGTCATTGTGCTTTTCTTTCCCGGTTCGAGTTTCTCTTCCTGCCTGGTGTGGTGCTCGGTTTGGGCTTCACGTCACAACGTGGTGAGTGCCCTTATTTTGTGGCCGGGTGGCTTGTTTGACCGCTTCATCCTGATTCAGGGCTGTTTTTCTTAGCGTTTACTATGCAGCCTGTAGGTCGGCGGCACGTGCAAGCGGAGCCAAGTGGACGCGCGCCGAAGTCGGAGGGTCGTCGCCATCATGCAGGAGAGGGCCGAGAGTACAGGAGAGGAGAAGCGGGGTCTTGGAAAAGTATCAGATATGACTCTGAGGACCTGCAGATGGAGTGGCCGTTCTGCTGGGTGTCTGGGCAAAAGCGGGAAAGTCGGAAACGTGCTGCTCTTTGTCCGATTTTTTCCATCAAGGCAAACCTGAGAGTCTCGAGAGTTCATCGTGGCTCGGCAAAAGCATACTTCCGGCGGCCTGAACTGAAGCTTCGAGATGCCAGGCACGAAACTCCACGACCGCGAAATAGCCGTCGTCACATACCTGCCGCTGTCTCGTCTTCCTCCCTCTGCGCACTTCGAATGCCAAGGATGCCTTCTGAGGTTGGGGGAGCCTCGCGGGTGGACGACGTGGTCTTGGGCAAAGATATCGATGGCGCTGCTCGGATGTCAGTGCTGGCATGAGGTGTCTATGTTGAGTTTGGGCAGGCTCGGCGCAGCAGTTCGCGAGGCTTGCAGAGGGAGCAGCAGGCACATGGCGGCATGAAGCATGGACTACTCTCGGATCGTCTGTGCACGACTGACGTTCCCATGATGCAGCGCAGGCGCAGCAGGGCGCCGTTGTGTCAGGGCCCCGACACGTGGACGTTCATGCGGTACCAGTTCGGGAACAGGGACGACCGGTGGTTGTGACGAGAGGAAGATGCGCCAAGAACCGGGTGTTGGATCACGATCGTTTGGTTTCAGCGAATCTCTTCAGATTCTTTGCCGGGAACGGCATAAATTGAAGGCCGTCCCACGACAAATTCCAGCTGTAGTTGAGCTCGAAACGTTTCCTGTGAGTGAAGGCAGCTCCTTGGGGGCAGAATAACTCCCAGAAGCATGGTTGCCTCTCATACAAGGCACGTCCTCACCGGTGAATGCAGGTCGGTGAGGAGCATCGCCGGGAAGGTCGGAGACACATCGTGCGGCCCCGAGAGTGGCACGCGGCAGAGTTTGGTGCCGCAGCCTTCCGAGGATGGGGGAGCCTCGCGGGTGGACGACGTGGTCTTGGGCAAAGATATCGACGGCGCTGCTCGGATGTCAGTGCTGGCATGAGGTGTCTATGTTGAGTTTGGGCAGGCTCGGCGCAGCAGTTCGCGAGGCTTGCAGAGGGAGCAGCAGGCACATGGCGGCATGAAGCATGGACTACTCTCGGATCGTCTGTGCACGACTGACGTTCCCATGATGCAGCGCAGGCGCAGCAGGGCGCCGTTGTGTCAGGGCCCCGACACGTGGACGTTCATGCGGTACCATTTCGGGAATAGGGACGACCGGTGGTTGTGACGAGAGGAAGATGCGCTAAGAACTGGATTGTGCGAGATGTAGAGCAGCTTCCTTTGGTGATCTAACTTTCGCGATTGCATCAAAGATATCTGAAGCTTCCGCCACCCCCCCAGAAAGCTTGGCCTAGGAAGATTAGCACACTGAAGGATGGTCGCGAACAGTCTTGCCGATTGAACCAGCGCTTGAGTTTTGCCCGATGTTTTTGTGTTCTTCTTGCGACACATGTGGAAGTATGTAAGTACTTCAGAAGAGGTTTGTGAGTTTGTGAATTAGCCATCGAACACATGCGCACCTCAACCTCTTAGCTTCGGATTACCTTTCGGTGTTACTTGTTGTCGAGACTGTTCTGAACTGCGGAGGTTGGAACAGATCCGCATGTGCAGGGCAGACGCCACATCGAGGGGACCCCAGCGGTTCATGTGCGGTTGGCTAGGCCTCAGCAGCTGCAGAGCTACTGCCTTCCAGCTTCGAGGCATCGCGGGAATGGCAGCGTCCAGGCTCGGTTTCCCGCTCGGCTTTCGGGCGCCAGCGGCATCCGTCTTTTTCGACCGAAAATCGCGAGGCGTAGCGGATGCGGCCGGGCAGCGGGCGCAGGCGCCGGGCTTTTCCCGCAACCGCAACGGGCCTTCGCCGCCTCGCGAGGCATCGCTGGGCCTCGATCGGCGCCTGCATGGTGCCAGGCTCAGCGGCTGAGCGGCCGCTGAGAGGATTTTTTCTCTGTACAAAACGTTGTCTTCTTCCGCTCCGTGTGCAAAATGCACTCCGAGCAGGGCGATGGTCTGCTGGAAGCAAGCTTAAACTTGAGCATGCTTCTGTTCGCGGCCGGCGCAAGAGGCAAAAGAGGTGGCTCTCTGCAGGCCGCGTGCAGGCCCATGGCCCGCTCGAAGTTCAGAGCTCTGTGCAGCGCCGGTCCGCAGCTTGTCCGCAGCATGGGGAGGGGAAGGGCGAAGGGTAGTTGCCAAACGTGCGATTAGCCTTCACATCGGCATCCAGGACCGAGAGGATGAATTGTCCTTTTCAGTCTCAGGTGGCCATTGCGCTTCCTGTCAGGACCTGCAGCTGGGTATGTTCAGTCTCCTGGCAGTTCAGCCTTGGAAGCAGAAAACAGCGTGTCTGAACTCCGACTTCAAAGGTGGATGCTGCTGCACCGACTCTCAGGATGCACAGGGTGTGCACAGGGTGTGCACAGGGCACAGGGGGCCTTTGGCCGGAAGGGAAGAATGCTGTGTTGCCCGTGCGGGAGGATTCGCAGGAAGCGCAGTTCAACTTGCCGATTGCATCCGATGAGAAGACCATCCCTTACCTGGCAACTGACAGAAGGCGAAAGCGAAATTTGAACAAAGCTGAACCGTTGTGACCGGAAATCTGGTGAAGTCCTCGCAGGATAGCCACTTCGAAGGACCCAAGCGACAGCCAAAAAGGGGGGGAGGGAGAGGTGTGAGAGGTGTGATAGGGTGCGAGGGTGTGTGCGGCAGTGGACCATGCCGTCGTAGTTGCGCCAGGATGTGCCATCGGCTCGGTGGCGGCCTTTGTGTCCATCGAGAGTCCTGAGAGGCGTGGGGCAGCTTCCGCAGCTTCCGAGGTCCACGCGTTCTCTGACGCCCGAAGAGAAGGAGGCCGAAAAGGCTCGGCGACTCGGAGCGGGGCAGCCTGGGCAGCCTTTGAAGAGCCTCTTCGAAGCCGGTAGTGGCAGGTCCGCTTACAGGGTTTGGTGAACAACTTTGCAAAGAAAGTTCGGGCCATATGGCACCAGGGTAGAGTGTACAGCCTCTCATCGCGAGATCTCTGTGTCCGAGGCAGTGCGAGGTTGTCCCTGCGTGTGCTCCGGAGCGTTGCAGAGTCATGATGGCCATGAAGGTAGACGGAAAGCTTTGAAGCTGGCAGGTACTTCAAAGAAGGCACAGCGACGCGATTCGAGACGCAGTATCGGATAGATGGAGACCCAGATCAGGTTCATGCGGCACCATGCAGCACCTGCACCCCGTGTTTCACGGATGACCAAGGACAAGAGCCTGGAGTATTTGATCTTGGTGAACCCGCAGGTCAGCTCTTGCCTGCACCATCCTGCGCCATGGCTCTTGATTCGATACTTCAGAGGAGCCAGGAGTCACAGAAGTCACCTGCCCAATTGCGGCCATTCAGGAGGGTCCTAGTCCCAGTCGCGGCAGCTTTTCGTTTTTTCGAGTCACCAGGACATCTACTCCATGGCTGAGGATGGCTCGTGCCGGCCTCGAAGCCACAGCTCAAAAGCCGACACAGAACAAAATCTTCCGTTTCCTGCGCAGAGGAGCTGCTTTCCCCCGGAAGTCATCGCGGCTCTGGGGGCAGAGGACAGCCGTGCGCAGACGCTCCCAGTGTTGGTGTCTTTGGTGTCTTTGTGTCTTTGTCGTGCATCATGAAATTCTCTTCTACGCGAGCTCAGGTTTTCCTTTTCAAGCACCAAAAGACACGGCACAATACAAAGTATGGCGGTTTTCAGGAGAGGGAGAGGGCTCGTCGGCTGGGGTTCTGTGAGACTTCCGGCTTTGAGCGCTGGCAGCTCTCTCCGCGAGTCGGGCCGGGAGCTCCCGGCCGCGGCACTTTTCCTCCCCGAGTTCGTAGGTCCGAATATAGGGCTCTTCACCCAACCCGACGCACAGTGAAGAGGTTCTCGCACGAGTCGAGCAGGTCTCCCAACCCTACACTTCAAGATTCCATTTAGCCAAGAGCGTAGAAGCGGTCTCTTGTTCGCTTGCATGAGGTTGTGCCAGCTGAATCATCTTTTCCATGCGCTCGGCTTGCAAGGATAGAGAACGGCTTCTGATGATTGCCTGATCCTCTCGGCTTTGCGACGACCCGAACTTTGCAGAATTGAGGGCCGGGTGTTTCGTGCCAAGGTCTTCAGCGACACGGACGGCAAGCTGTTCAGGCGGATATTCTTTTTGAGAGACCGGAAGCAGATTGTGTCCTTGGGAAGGTTCTGCTTGGTGGAGGAATCAACCGAGAGCCGCGACACCTTCTTGGAGTGCATGAGGCCGATGCGAGCTAAGGCTGATAGGGCGTGCCACATAGCCACCCGTAGGCGTCCATAGGCCTCCATAGGCGTCCGTAGGCCATGGGCTCGCGCTTTTCCTCTTCAATCCCATGCCTCGGAGGATTCTTTGCATCTACGCACAGTCCAACCCTGGTGAGCGTTGACTTCTTCGCCTCCTCTAAGCATGTTTCACCTGTCAAAGCTCGTCACAACACGCCGACGAACTTGGCGCGCAGCAAAACAGACTGCAAGTTGCTGCCTGTGCAGTTTGGAGTCTTGCCATGAGACTGTCCGTGGCCTCTCAGCTCGAGCACTGAACCCTTCATCGCCCGGGGCCTTCCCCCCGCCACGGGTTCCCGTCCCGGAAGCGAACCCGAAAGGTTTCAAAGGCCATGAGCTGAAAGGAGCTGGCGTCTCCCAGGCCGATTCGAAGCTCCCAGGCTTTGCTGGACATGGCACCCCGCAGTGTTTTGCAGGCCTCTGCGCAATGCTTTTGCTGCTGCTTCAAGCAACGATGGTTATCAGCGTGCCGGGACCTGATCTCGCGGTCACGCAAATAGTTGAGCTGAACGGGTTGATTGCGCTTCCGCTGTCCTTTCCAATAATCAACTCTCTGTCAGAGTGCTTTGCGGATGAGTGTTGTGAAATGCATGGCTGTGGCACATCCACACTAACAAGCAGCATGCCCCACTCATAAAGTCACCGGCCAATGAGCACTTTGCAAACGAGGTCTGCAGATGTTTCATGCCTGATGCAGACCAGCAGCCCTGATCGCACAGCTCTTCCTCAAGGCCAGAACGTGCAGCTCCTTGAATTTGTCCGGCATGAGCTCAGCTCCCCCGAGGGTCGCGCTTGCGCGCGGGCGAGGCGCGGGAACAAGAGAGAGGGTCAAGAGAGAGCGAGCAGACATTGCACGCCGACAGTCCAGGAGCCCAGGTCAACCGAAAGGAGGAAAGAGAGAGACAGAGAGAGAGATATGGGGCCTACAGTGTGGGGTAGCTTTCACAGACTTTCCACCAGCCCCCATAAAGCTGGGGGGGCCCTTGTGGTTGGGGGGCTTAAGACGCTCCCAATGCCCTATGGAAGAAGAGAGAGAGAGAGAGAGAGAGAGAGAGAGAAAAACAAGTACGTCGGAGCTTCGTCTGGTGGCGTCTTACGGTAAGTCGCGCCCTATTGGCCAGAAGAGAAACATGCTTCACAGAATGAACCGAAGCAGCCGTCTTGATTTTGTCGAATTTGGTTGGGCTGTGCCGTTACTTTGATTCGGGTCCCGTTTGCTCACGGCTGAGTTCAGAGCCGTGCAGAGAGTGGAAGAAGTGCGGTTGCACAGGCAGCGGCTCCCAAGGAAGCGCTTCAGCAGCTGGTCCGAGTCCCGGTCGTAAGCTTCTCCGCTTCATCTGTCTACCTCGCTTGCTTTTCTTTTTTTCGTGCTCACTGCACGTGGCCAGCGTGTCTCCTCCTTAAGCGGAGGCCTTCAGCGCCGGAGGGCTGGTGGAGACCTTGGCCACTCTGCAGAGGCAGAGCGACTGCGCGTCCGTCGGGGTTGTGCGGACCGTCTCTTTGCCTCCGGTGCCTCCAGCAGGCGACTGCGCCACCGGGTCCGCAGCTCGAAGAGCGCATGGCGCTCGCCTGCATGTGTTCGCCTGCGAAGAACCGAAGCGAGGAGCTGCTTCTGTCTCAGCCCGCGCCTGCAGCGCCTGCAGTGCCTGCAGAACCTGCGCCGCAGGCTGGCTGAGAGGTTGACTTTGAGCTTCTTCTCTTCTCTTCATTACCCCTCCGCTCCGCTGCGCTCCGCTGAGGCGAATGCCACAGCGATGCCTACGAACTTCATTGCCAAGTATCAGAGGCAGACCAGTTTTCGCAGAGAGAACCAAGACTTGTTGCGACCCCAGGCTTTCCCCGAACAAAACTCTGGTGATGTGGGTGGTGGCCCCTGCCTCAGCAAGACCATGCTTGGCATGTCGTGGGGGCTGCAACAGCGACAAGAGAGAGTTGCAGAACGGCTCGCAGCCTGTAAGGGGTTGGACAGAGGCGAGGCTCATGCGCGAAACAGCAACAATTCTGCGAAGTGAGTTCTTTGCAGCTCTTCGCAGCCTGCGAACTCACAAGGAACTCTGTGTTGCACCTGCGACAGGCCTGACACGCGTTGAATCGGTCCTCACAAGGTCTTGCTCCACCCATGTGCGTGGCACAGCCTTGCACCAGATCTGATGAAATTTTGCGCCACATCCATCCATAGGGCGCCAGACGCAGAAACAGGTTCCCACCAGCTACGAAAACCAACAGCGAAGTCAAGTCTGCACAGCTACGTAGATCCTTCCTCGTTTTGTGCAATTACTTGTCAGCCTTTATAGGACAACATGATCTCGCTGGACTGGTGTGCTCTCCAACCCTTGCGTGCCCGCAACAGAGCTGCCATGGCTGGAGTGTGCACGTCGCGTGCCACGACCTTCGATGGTGCTGTGGGACTCAAACAGCATCCACAGCAGCAGTCTTCAGTCCTTGTAAGGCATTTGCGTATGCCACATGCCCCGCTTGTTCGCCTGTCGTTGGCAGAGCAAACGGCAGTCGCATGGGGGACGAAGATAAAGATGAGGAGGATCAAGCATACTTGTTCGAACCGGTGCAAAGAAGAAGCCGATGAGATTTACATGCAGGGTACGAGCACGTCCGGGGCCGGCGCTTCCTTACCCACCGCCCGAGTGAGCTGTCGGCTGCCAGACTCGAGCTGATCTCCAGCAGCGAAGACATGGTAAGGCCCATGCGCTCGCGTAGGTTGCCGAGGGAACCTTTCGCAGTGGGCTACATGCAGTCGCAACAGCTCTGGTCGGGCTAGCAGCCTCTTAAAATGCCTGTCGACCTTGGATGCCTTTGGCTTTCTCTAACGGCGTCGTAGATTTCAGTCATGGAGCTCCAGGAGGATGGGTTGCCATTTTGGGCCTGCGGTACCAAAGGTTGTGACGAATCAACTGCAGAGGCTTCACCTCGTGAGCTTCTATCGCGACGGTGGTTCGCTACAAGGGGACGGGTTGAGTTTGAATTTCTCCTTGTTTTGCATGTCTGTTAATCACCAAAAAAGCCCCTGAGTTAATCGCAAGGTTTGTCGTCGCTGATTCTGTTGCATTCTGCTCCTGGCATTCCAGACATAGACTTAGACTGCGCAAAGTTCAGAAAGCCCAACAAAATCAGATGTGCCAAACATGCGTCGCGTTTTCCATAAAGCGCGCGAGAATGGATCTTGCTCAGATTCGTGCCAAAATCACGATGTGCAGCATGCACGAGGCACATGCCTGCTGTTTTGACGAGAGTTCTTCGCCCCTACCTTGAGGCCGCTGTTTCTCCCAAGTCAGTGCTTCCTTTTGCCTTGCTTTCGTCCCTTTTTTTTTGGCCCGCGCCACAAGAAAGACACACGGACTTCCGCCAGCGGCTTCGCAGCCCAGCGGCGTCGCAGAGTGGAATTGCATGTGGGAACGCCTCACGGAAGGGAAGTGCAGACATTTGTATGGCTTTGTGTTGCCAAGGTATTGACTCCGGTGTGGTTTCTCGTGGGATGGTGCCTTCTGCGCCTAGAGATGAACAGGCGCAAGGCGCAGAATTGGAGCAGTTTTTTTGAGGGGAGAGTCCGCCAGGCCCGTTGCGACAAGTGTGCGGGAGAGGCGTGACAGACCTGAAGCCTGGATCCTAAAGCCGGTAGCCGGAAGAGACCTTTCCCGCTTCCGCGCTGAATCAAGGCGCGAGGCTGGAACTTCCACTGATTTGCATGCTAGACCTTGCCGACTGTCACCCGCAAGCGAATCTGGCGATGGTGTCGCCTTTGAACGGCGCATCGATCACAAAAAGCTGCGCTGCCTCTTGGCCGATAAGCTAAGTTGTCGGGACCTTCGCGGAGAAAGCACAAGCACCATCATCGCCATTGAATCGCATTGCCCGTGTGCTCCTCCATATCAATGAGTTGCACAAAGACTTGAGCACGGCTTCTTTGCCGTAGCGAGACATGAACTGCCGGGGAAATTTCATCGGGTTCGACTGCGAAAACGGTTCGCAGCAGCTTTGGCAGCTGCAGTGCGGACTGTTGGGTTTCAGTCCAGAGCTAAGTATGTTGAGGTCAGGTTGGAGTCATGTCATGTTCTGAAAATGTAGATCAGCCAGCTTGGCATGCTGCGTCTTGGAGGCTGCTTTGCTCAGCTTTTCTTTGCCTCTGGGGTGACCTTGTGCGGACATTGCGGGTTTTCCACCGGTCCTTTGCATGCGGAACTCAAGCGATTGTGATCCTGGGGTACTATTCTGGGCCTTGTCAGCTACGGGTACTCTACTTGGATGTGATGCCTTTTGCTGTAACAGCCGCCGCTTAGTGTTGCAGGTTTTGCACTGGTTGGGGAGCAGAGCAGAGCAGAGCTGTCAGAGGGTCTTTGGGCTTCCCATGGCAGTGCCTGGTCCTCCTGTGCGGCGGCACTCCGCGCGGCTCCATGAAGCCGCGAAGAAGACACAAAGCGCGAGCAAGTCCGCTGCTGTAGCCGCCGTAGCCGGCGTAGCCGCCGTGGCGGTCCCCAAGGCCAAAGCGGCCAAGGCCAAAGCGGGCAAGGCCAAAGCGGGCAGCCGGTTGGTCACTTACTCGGCTCGGCGTGTGGAGAGCCGTCCGAGCCGCGGTCCAAAGCTGGCCAGAGCCAAGACCGACGAGGAGGATTGGGACGCATCGGATGGCGGGGATGAAAGCGATGATGTATACCCGACAAGAAATGCAGGCAGCAAGAGCACCAGGAGCCGCCAAGTGGCCCCAGCCAAAGTGGCCGCAGCCAAAGTGGCCGCAGCGAAAGTGGCCCCCAAAGCCGCTTCCAAGAGACCTGCGAGGACGAAGAAGGCGGAGCCTCCGCCCCGGCCGTCCAAGCCGTCCCGGCGCTCAGCCTTGAAGCGCTCCGGCACGGACTCAAGAGAGGCTGAGGCCCCTGCTGAGCCTCCAGTGGCCCAACAGGAGCTCCTGACGGCGAGTTGTGCTCGTTCCGTGACGGTAGCACAGGCTAAGCGAATATTTGTTTTCTGTTAAACGTAATTTTTCCTCTTAGACGTTACTTTTTCCTACCTACCCCACCTGCCCCACCTACCCCGCCTACCGCCACTTCCCCACCTGCCCCACCTGCAATGCCCGTCGATGCTCAAGTATAACTCGAAGGAAAGAAACTGTAGAGCGAAGGGTCGTAGAGCGGCGTCGCGACAGCTACGGACTTTTACCCCCGGGCGTTCCCCAATGTGCCTCGATTTGTAGAGACTTCGTAAGACCAGCAGGCGTCTCACGAAGCCAAGCCTTTCAAACTTGCATGCCCCGGTCACTTCCGGTGCTAGAAATAAATGTGGTCCCGAATCATAAAACACTCATCCATGTCTTCAGACTCAGACTCTATGCCTGCTCACTTGTGCTGATGCCCGTCAGGCTGTAAGGTCCTCTGCTTTCCTTTTCCTAGCCGAACGCATAGACGGGTCCTCCACAATGCGCCACAAGCTCCATCTCGTGCCCTCCGTTCAGCTTGGTCGACGAGTTGGCCAGCTGCGCCTCCGAATGTACCCAACGGACTTGCAGGTCAGTACGTTGTTGGGTCTCTTTGACGCTCAAGAGTTCCAAGTTTGATTTCCGCAGTGCTCCGTTGATGGTAAGGACGTCGGTGTTGAGTTTATCGTAAACATTACGACTCTACGACTACCAGTGATGAGAGTTGAACCTCCTCACACATGAAACCGGATCCCGAACATCCAAATCCCCGAAACAAATCTCACTCCACTCATATCTTGCGTAAAGCAGCAGGTCCTGGCTTTCGGATGCTCTTGGGCTTCTGCACGCGAGGTTGAATTTATCTCATTCGAATGCCATGCCATAAGCGACACTTTTCCCAAAGCCCCTTGCAGCATTGAGGTGGGGGCCATGCCTATCAGGATTCCTTGGGTGCTTCCGCCGTCACCTGTTGCAACAGCCGATTGGGCCTAACAATCAGAGTCACGCAGCTCCTACTAACCTCAGAAAGCATCAAGCTCACATTTGCTTGATATGAGGAGCCACTTGTTGAGCATGCCAGCTCAAAGTCCCGAGCAACCCCCTCAACTGTGATGTTTCATGAGGAGTCGTGGGTTGCTTGGCTTGCTTCTTTCGGCGACTGTTCAGGGAGATTTCCGAAAACTCCACGTAGTTGGGCTGAGAAAACCTGAATTGGCTCTCGCTTTCGTGAGCTGAACCCCACACTGAACAAAGTCGTCCTTGTCCCGATCACCTCATTGAAATCTTTCCCAGATGTTCCGAATGATCTGTTGCCAACACGCATCTTTTTCGTCCCCTGAAAACAGAAAATCATCCGCGTGGCCTGAGGTGATGCCTTAAGCTTCTCCGTCACGGCGGTACACCCAGGCACATTCATCTAACCGCACAGACGAGGGAGCCCTTGAGACTCGAAGTACTCGGCCACTGTTCGGTACCATTCCAATGGCGCGTCCACGAGCCTGTAACAGGCTTTTCTCATCCTGACAATGCTTCCGCTTGCTAGACCCATGGCCTGGCATTTCCCCTTGCAAAGGATGCAAAAGAGAGTCTGAGGATATTCTTTTCCTTGCAAAAACGCTCCATTCACATCTCCTGTATACACATGCCACACTTGAAGTGGTTGATCTGTGGGTGTATGCCGGGTCTTGATAGCCGAGCGAAGCGGCTCTTGCTTTCGCAGCCTTGTGGGAGCCATCCTCCTTCGGCTTCCACGTCAATAGCCACTTCATGCCCATCGCCTGTTCGCGGTCCGCAGGGAGTTCCGCAGGCAACGCCTCGAACGCACGGGAGGCCAACTTCCACGGCCTTGCGTTTCAACGCGCTGGCGAAGTATCTTGCTTCGTGGCATGTCGATGGCCACTTCTACAGTGGCCGATTCCTCGGCCCAGAAGCAAGACTGGTCGTTAAGGTGTGCCTCTTACCAAGCCCCCGCGGAAAAGCATCTGGAGCCTGGGGCCACGCCTGGATGTGGCTGCACCCTGAGGATCATCCTCCAGGGCCTCGATCCTGTCCGTTGCCTCCTCTGGTTCTCCGCTCTTGCCTCGAACACGAGACCGTGGTGCTAAAAGCCGCTGTGGTGGAACCTCTGTTCAGGATCTTGGGCCCGTTGCCATTCCTGTTCTTCGGGAACTTCGCCAGAAAATATCTTCGAATTTATTTTCCCCGATCTCTTCGGCTACTTTCTGAAAAGTCCAGGGTGTTGCTCCTTCTGGTGTCTTGGTGGCCACTGCCTCCAAGAGTTCTTCACGAGCTGATGCGTGTCGCAATTGCTCGGGACTGCATTTCATCAGTGATCTTCCGCGAACCAACCACACATTGCACTCCATCAGGATCTTTACGACCCTAGAAACCTTCCATGTTTGCTCCCTGGAGCTCGCCGTCCTTGTCCACTTTCAGTCACACGGTGACTCTGCTCGGGCTTTGGCCAGGCGCGCGAAGTCTACGCGTGCGTTCTCTACCACCAGGTCATCCGGCAGCTGCCCTGGCTTCTGAATCAATCTTCCAGTGATGTCGGGATTCCTTCCAAATGCATGCTGGATCGGCGTCAAACCTCGGATCTGCTCCCTAGCCCGCAGTGGTTACCATGGCATACGCTCCGAAGGTCACATACACAGTCCTCAGGTCATCTAACATGCGACGATGTCGGTTGATGGGCCGAAGAGGAAGGCTCTTAAGCAAATCCTCGCAGGACTCAAGCTTAAAGTCTTTGTCCTCAAGCAGCCCTTTTGCGAAAAACTCTGCTTGAACCACTTGTTTCATGCTCGTGTAGGCCTGCAGTTGCTCAGTGGACACCTCAGTCATCCCTTCAATCCTGTTACCTGCACCTGACCTGAGTCCCTGCCCCTGGTCGTTCTCACCTTCCAAGTCAAGCGCCGAATGCCCTGAATCCTCGGAACCCTCATCCCTGTCACCTGCTCCTGCCTTGGTTCCCTGCGCCCTGGCCTGGCGGGGTGAACACTTGCTGGGCACGAAGTGTGATCCGGGAGTGCCTTGTATGCTGGTAGGCAAGGCATGAGTGCAACTGCATGTGGCATGACATGTGTGATTGCACTAGTTGTCCGTGCGTCACTGTGTAGGGTCGAGTGTCTTGCTCGAGTGCCTGCAGTGCTTTCGGGCTGTGTTCTTGTTTTCCCACCCTCCCACCCTGTGTCTGCAGGGGGCAGAGATTTTCAGCAGCAGCTGAGTCGATTTGTCAGCATCGGAGCTGATGTGTACTGTGCATTGCTATCAGAGTACTTGAGCTCGGTGCGATCCACCGAGTGAAAAGAGTGGGAGTCCTCTGCAAGGGTGCCTCGGTTCTTCTTTCGTTCGGTTGTAGTTGGGTTTGCCGGGTCTTGTTTTGAGGGGGGCTTGGTCGGTTCTTGCGGGTTTGGGTTTCCTGACGGCACTGTAGGATCCCACTCATCTGTCACGGCAAGTGCCGAGTCGCCTTAAGCCTGGAACATAAACCACACCTAGCCTTCTAGCGCCCGAAGTCCGAATTTCAGAACACACGCAACACATCCCTGCACCAAAGCCCTCAATAAGTCTGCTGTGTCCTCGGAGTTCATCTTGGATCTGGGCACTATTCATTTCTTGAGTCATCACAGACGCGACTTGCTTACAGTACTTAATGGTGCATCTTGGGCCTGACGAATATCCTGGAGTGCTGGAGCACATCTACAGGCCATCTGAAGGACCGCAACCAACTTAGAACAAGTGGTGCCCACTCTCCACCCGTTCTTAACTAAAAGACCCTGAAGTTCACCCTGAAGCCTTAGTCACCGCAACTTTCAACTCACACTTTTGAAGCATCCGCTGAAAGACAGGCAGCCGCCATCCGTTGCAGTGTTCCTGGCCATCCTAATCAAGTTCATAACCAAAGCTAATCCCTCAAGAGTTCCCTTGTCCTTGCATCGCACATTGGCTGGCAGCCACGGTGCTCCCGGTAGCACTCTCGATTGTGGCAGTATGCAGACTCTCAGAAGCATCAGAAACTTCCAAGAGAACCTTTCTATCCTAGGTAATTAACCAAAGCCTCACGGGGAACGACCCCGCTACTCATTTGCTCGAGCTGCCGCGCCCTACCTATCATATCCCTTTGGCCATCGTGTTTACTCGATCTGTTTTGTAAAACTAGAAGATGTTTGGCTTGTTCTTTTTGCGGTTGTCACTTGTCAGCATGCTTTTGTATTTACATGTCGGCATGCTTTTGATCGGTTGGGCGTGCGAGCTTTTTACCACGAGTGCTTTCCGAATGCGGCATTCAGCAGCGGCCGTGGAGTGCTCAGAGCTCGCATTTTGTTTTACCCACCCTCCTCTCCCTTGGGTGCACTCCTGGGCCGCTTCAGCTGCTTATGCAGTAGTCCTTAGCTTTTGGGATCGGCTACAGTCCGATGTATTGCTGTCAGCGATCGAGGATCGACTTTTCTCACTCTCGTTGCGAGTTTCCTGTGAAGCACAATCGAGCATAACTCGTGGTGCTTAACATTTCCGAGGGGCTTTGTCTTAGCTGTCCTCGGTTATGTTAGCTGCGTATCTCTGACGGCTTACCGATGCCACTATCCACCACTGCCAAAACAGAAGGGTGTCCGAGTGTAGTGTGCAGTGTTCGCGATTGGATTGAAGTTTTTGATATATTCATATGCTATATGTTTGAGTGCTTCGTTATCCGAACATATGAAGGTTTTTGGAGCGTGGATCACGTCTTCCTTTCGCAGTCTCCTCTTTTCGGTAGGAGACTCTGTTTTGTGTTGCATGCCCAAACTGTTTAGTTTTCAGAACATTCCGGGTCATCGTCATCGGCCTCGTTCACAACGAACCCGCCATGGAGAAACTGGTCACGCTCTCGACGTCCTCTGCCGCCCTTGTCGTCGTTCTCGGCGTCCACGGTCACTCTTGATCTCGAGAGTCTCGAGAACGGCTGCGGGCATGCTTCGTCGCGTCGAGCTGGTAGGTCTGCGGACTGGTGCAGCGGAGGGCGCTGAGTCGTCAGAGATACAACCACACCCAAACTGAGTATTCTATTCCTGCTACTAACACGTCTCCTTCCCCTGTCTTGACAGGACACAAGTCAGGGAGGAGTTGTCCCTACTCTTCGGCAGGCACTGCTAAGAACTGGGGAAGCCCCCTTGGCAAGTAGGTCCTCAGACAACAGAACGAGAAAGTGTCCGGTAGCTGACTGTTCTAGATACAAGATCTTCTAATCGTCGATGTTACGTCGCGCCGCCATCTTGGCCTTGATTCGACCAAAGCTCCCAACGTAGCGAGTGACTCGATGCTCAGGAGGATGGGCCCGCTCCCCTTGTTGGGAGCATGGATCTGCACCGCCCCTGATCTCTGGCCCGCTGTCAGGCCATCTTCACTCCTGTTACTGAGCTTGATCAGTTGTGTTTGGTGTAGGACGCAACGGCAACCGACCGTCCGC